GGCCCCAGAGCCATGCAACCGAGTTCATCTGAGACCCCCATTGGCAGAAAGATGGCAGTCCTGGGGCTGGCCCACACCCAGCAAGCTCCAGGGCCACCTGTGCTGAGGCAGTGAGTGCTAAAAATAAAAGTCACGCTTTGCAGGAGCACGGTCTGGTTCAGAGGCAGAAGGGAGTGGGATACCCAATTATCAGCAGGACTCGCCACCTGCGGCACGTGAGTGTGTCGGGTGATTCCTTTACTCAATGCAAGGCCCCACCCCTGGGTACAATGGTGCTGGCTTAGGGCCGTATGGAGTGGGCAGGGCCTGCTTCCTCTAGGAACAAAAAATGCCCCTTGGTGCTGTCCAGTGGAAATATAATGTGAGCTACACAAGGAATTCTACATTTTCTAGTAGCTGCATTTGAAAAGAAAAACAGGTGAAATTAATTTAATAACATATTTTATTTAATCTAATCCAGCAAGACTTTTTATAATTTCAACATGTCATCAATATAAAATTAATGAACAAAATAAATTCCTTTTCTGTACTGTCTTCAAAACCTAGTGTGTATTTCAGACCTCATGTCTCCATTTGGAGAGGCCACATTTCAAGTCCTGTATTAGTTTTTCCCATGGCTGCTGTTACACATTACCACAAATTTAGTGCCTTAAGACAACACACATTTATTATTTTTACAGTTCTGGAGGTTAAAAGTCTACGATAAGTGCTAGGGGCCCAAATCAAGGTGTTGGCAGGGCTGTGTTCCATCTGTAGGCTCTGGACAAGAATTTGTTCCTTGCTCTCCAGCCGAGGCTGGTGGCCCCTTCGCCCATCTTCAAAGTGCATCATTTCAACCTCTGCCTCTTGTGTCTCTTTGCCTTCTCCACCTCCGATTCTCCTGCCACCCTCTTCAAATGACACTGGTGATTACATTGGGCCCGCCCACCTGGCTAGTCCGGGACAATGTCTTCCTCTTAAAATCATACCCGCTACGACCCCTTTGGCCAAGAAAGGGTAGCCCGTGCACAGGGAGCAGGGAGTAGGACTCAGGCATCCTCAGAGGGTCCTGATTCCTCCTGCCGTGCCTACCATGTTGGAAAGTGCAGCTCTAGGAAATGAAGGAGGAAAATCTAATCAGAACTCCTGGTGTCTTGTCCCATCCTACCCATGGACTCGCTGTGGGACCTTGGGCAAGTCACTTCACGTCCCTTGTTGATTCTATTTTCCTTTCCTGTAAAATGAGGTTGATATAACCCATGCTTGGGAGCTGTCCGGACTGTAAGCCCTTATTTAACTGGAAGAGAGTTCTGACAGCAGGGTGAGGGTGGTCCTGCCAGCAGGGTAAGGGTAGTACTGTCCTGTGGGAAGAGTCTGCTAGTCTGGGAGGGTCATCAGACAACACAGGGTTCAGCTGCCTCCTGCTGCAGATGGGAAAACCAAGGCCCAGAGTGAGGAAGAGGCTTACCGTGGGTTCCTGATGAGTTGGTGGTCCAGCTAGAAAGGGGGCCACTGGGAGCAGTGTTCCCCCCCATGCTGCACTGCCTGGGCCCTCTCTGAGCCTGTTTCCTCACCTATAAACATAATAAAGGCACATTTTCATGGGTCATTGTGAGCATCAAAGGATTTCTCAGGTGTGAACGTGCTCTGGGGAAGATTGGATGATTGTTTAAAGGAAGGGCTCAAAGACACCTGGGCACGGGTGTTATGTTCTAGCTGCAGGGCCTGGTGGTCAGCCTGTGAGGGTGAGGGCTGGGTCACCTTCTGCTTGACCAGCCCATAGTGCTCTGTATGCCTCGGAGGACCTCTTGGGGGATTGCTGAGGGCCCTCCAATCCTTTTTCTTTTTGAGACAGAGTGACACTCTGTCACCCCGAGTAGAGTGTCGTGGCGTCATCATAGTTCACAGCAACCTCTGTCTCTTGGGCTCAAGCGATCCTCTGGCCAGCCAGCCTTTCTTGTCTTTTGGTGGTTTTCCCTGCCCCTTCTAGAACCAAGCCTCGGGAGCAGCAGGAAGCAGGCCTTTCCCTCGCTGCCGTGACCTATGGCCCTTTCCTAGAAAGTGACCTTGTCAAGGCTAGCCCCCCACCCCCAGGTTGTGCTCCTCCTGAGGGAGTTCTGTTTTATCAGGGGCAGGGGCAAGACAGGGGCTCTCTGAGGCTGGACGGAGAAGCCTGAGCCTGGGGGTCTTGCTCAGAAGGCAACTGTCCGGTGGCTGGATGGGTGAGCAGGGTTAGACCACACTCTTTAACAGCCCCAGAGGCCTGTGATTCCACTGCTCCCTGCACTATTCCTACAGGTGTCAAAGGATAAACTATTCTCCAGTTAAAGTCTCCCCTGCTCTAGCAGGCAGGGCCAGCTGGCCGGAGATAGGGCGAGAGGCAGGAGTGGAGCTGGAAGGCCAGGGTGGCTTCGTCTATGTCAGTTTTCCCTCTGGTGCCATCATTCAAACTCTATCCCGACCTTGTGCTAGGCAGAGCTGTCCTATGGAGCTTCGAGGAGACCCCAGGGCCCCAGCAGTGGGTGCCAGCACCAGTGCTGAGTTTCTAAAAACAACTGACTGTGATTCACACATTAACAACCTAACACAATTTAGGCAGCACATCAGTGGAAGAGGGTTTATGTTCTCCCTTCAGGCACCGGGGACTCGGGACTTTGTAGGACAGCCTCTGAGGTGCTTGGTTCCTGACCTGATGGATTCCTTGTGGTCTCCTGAGTGTCAGGCTCTGTGCCTTGTGGTGTGGTTCAGGATTGGTGGGATGGGGAGGTTCCTGACCCCTCAAGTCCAAGTGTTATTTCCTAGGCGGAGTGATAGAGCCGAACAAAGGGAAGAGACTGGCCTAGGGCTAGTCAGTGATTTGGAGGCAGAGCCAGGACTAGCAGGAAGGAGGTCCTTCCTGATTGATGGCTCCCCTAGCAGGTGGGAAGCCAGGGGTTAAGATGCCAGTAATGGGATGGCAGCAGCAGTGCCATCCCAGTGGGAACACTCCCACTGAGAAGTTTCTGTGCTAAGTTCTTTCTGTGTGATGGCTTGTTTCCTCCTCATGACACTCCTAGGAGGCAAGAATTTATTCCCATTTTACAGATGGGAAAACAGATGTGCAGAGAAGTAACTTGCCCTAGGACACATAGCTACCAAGTGACAGACCCAGGCCTGGAATTGGACTGTTGGACTCTAGCACATGCGCCCAGCCAAATGCAAGCGTGAAGCTGGGACCATGGTCTTAAATGACCTGCATGTCCTGATCCACGGACACAGCTCACAGGCTATGGAGATGCAACTGGTGGCCCTGTGGGGGTGTAGGGGTGGGGGTGAGCAGGGCCAGATCTTCAGCTTCTCTAGAAGCAGAAGCCAAGGCTGAGACACCACCAAAGACTCTCGTGGACAAGGCCTCCTCAGTTAGGCTTTCAGCGTCCAGAGTCTGACATGGCTGGTATGGAAGTAAATCAGCTGTTTCATAAATAGAATGTTCAATATTGGTGCCAAGAAGTTACTGGGTGCAGTAGGAAGAACTGGGAACTATGCTCAGAAGACCCAGGTCCTGGTGGGCTCTGCCTTTTTGGCAGGGGGTCCCTGAGTCACACTTGTCCTCTGAGCTCTTTCCTTTAATCTCTGCAAAGAGATCAGAGTTCCCACTGCTGGAAGAAGACATCAACTGCTCCAGAGAACTGTGGGAGGGTGAGGAGTCATAGGCCGCCAGAGCAAAGCCATCCACTCACTGGGTGACCTTGCTCAATGTCCATCTCCTCTCTGGACCGTGACCTTCCTGGCTGTGCAGCGATCAGCTGTTATGGTTATGACAACACTAGCACTGTCTTCCCTGATATGCCAGGGAGGAAAAGGCCTTTAGAACAGTAGGAGCTGGGGAAACGCTCCGACAGAGAAGCGAGCTGCTGCCCCAATGGTGGTAATATCCAGCTCCCTCTGAGCGGTTGCCCAAACCCTGTCTGTGCCACATGAATGTGCTTTGCTTCAACAAACACACACATCCCAGATGCAGAGGTGGCAAATGGGACCCAGTTCCTGGCAAAGGGTCTCCACACAGCGCGGCCCCCCGACCTCATCCTACCTTTCCCAACCAGTGGTTGCCAGGGTGGAGCCCTCCAGGTGGGGGACACCACCCCTAGAGAGGGGTCCTGGAGAAGAAGGGCTGGCACAATATTATGCTGCCTCTGGTCACACATCAAGTCATTGACTTAAGGGTTTGAATCCAGCATAGATTGGTCTTGGTTCAAGTCATGGCTCCTGGTCCTTGTGTGACCTTGGGTGAGTGACTTTTACCCCTTGAAGCCTGGGTTTCCTCTTCTGTGAAAAGAGATGATGGTAATCACATCTGCCTCATGGGCTTTCCCTGAAAGCGTCATGGAATGATGCAGGCCAAGCCCCCAGTGCTGTGTCTGGCATCAAGCTAAGCTCTCCATGGTGGTCTGAGATTCTTTCATTCTTAGCCTGGGACCCCACAGTATACAAAGCATGGCTTCAGCAATCTTGGCGTCCTCCTGACACCATGAAGTCAGAATTCTCACCCATGTGCCAGGAGTAGGAACCGAAGCTTAGTGGAGCCTCTGCTGCTGGGCTCTGCAGAAGAAAGTGCATCCAGCTTGTTTCTCTGGGGCTGAGCTGCTTAAAAGCAGAGCGTGCGTCTCTGTCCCAGGCCCAGGTTGTGGGTGCCATGCCCCCCCCAGTGCCCCCAGGGCGAGCCCACCCAACACTGGATGGAGGACAGAGATGAGTCCAGGAGACCTGAGGTCAGGAACTGGTCATGTGATCACAGGCACATCACATCTCCCTGTGCCTCACTTTCTCCATCTGAAATCAGTTCTGACAATTTCAGCCCTGGCTTTGGCATCAGAAGACCTGAGTTTGAATGCTGGTCCCACCACCTGTTTGGAGCAACTTTTCTCCACTTTTCTTAGTTTCCTTGTGTTTACCTATAAGAAGGGGCTAATTAATGGTAGAAGGTTGTATGTAGTAAGACAATAAGAGAAAAAAGAAGAACACCAAACAGTGATTAACAGGATTCTAATTACATCTGTGAAAGTCTGTATGCTTGTGTGTGTTTGTATCTACGTTTTCAAAAGAGAAAGAAAATTGACTAAAATGTGCTCAGCAGTGCTCTCTGGACGCTGGGCTCATGGGTGATTTTTACTTTCTTCTATATATTATTTGTGTAGTTTTCTAGCTTTTCTATTATAAGTATGTGTCTCTTACAACAAACAACCAAAGGCATAAGTAACTGTTGTCCTCCCTGCCCAGCACTGGCTGGCGAGGTGGCCTCTGTGAGCAAGCTGTGTGGAGCTGACTGTGCTAGTCCTGCCCTCTGGGGCGGGGCCCTTGCTGGCATTAGTGGGCCTTTAGGGCTGGCCCTCTGGCTGGGGCAAAAGGATCTTCTGCCTCCCAGGATTTCCCATGAGGATGTAACCTCATTGTGGTTGAAGACTACCCAAAGGAAGCTTGAAGAGGAAGGAAAGTAACTAGAAACAAAAGACCTGGTTTCTAATCCCAACTACCCTCACCCAACCCTGAGCAAAGCACCTGGTCTCTCTGACCTCACTTTCCTAATCTGTAAAGGGGGATTAAAGGCTTCCTTCCACACTGGGGGGTTGTGAGGGCCCAGAGAAACAGGTGCCCTGCCTGCATCTTGCCTCCCCATGAGTCACCTCTAAGAGATGAAATGTCAGGTCTTTGGTGCATTTAACATAGAGATTTGTTGGAAGAGAAATCATTTGACATTTTAAATCATGGTCTCCTCCTGCTGTTATCAGGCCAAGGGTTACCCAGGAGGTGCTTTGGGGAGAGCAGCCATTTGCACTCCAGCCTTTCCTCCTCCCTACACAGCCCTGCCCAATTTGATGCTCCAGTGCAGCCCTCTGGATTTTCTTATTCACCTCCGGTGATGGGGAACTTAGTCTAGGCCTGGATAGACTGAATTCACATGGGCACCCATCCCTTCCACCCCTCAGCCCTGTGACCCTGGGCAGGAAGAGAGAAAGCCTATTTCTGGTTCTCTGCTCAGGCCCTGCAGCTCCAGGCCTGGTCCCATTTTCTCCCCACCTTGGTTGAAGTTGGCTGGAGAGGCTATGGCCTCTCAGTGTTGTGTAGCTGGTGTAGGGCAGTTCTGCCCATCACCCTCTCAACCCTTTGCCTCTGTGGGCCTAGCCTAAGGTCCCACCATCCTTAGCTGAGGGCCAGCCACAGTCAAGCCATCAGTTCTGCCCACATCTTGCCAGCCCTGGCCCATCCTTGTGCCCTGGGGTCTTGGGTGCCAGGGGCAGGACACCCAGTCAGCCATCTTACTAAGCCCCCCCCCCCCATCTGAGCCGCTGCTCCCTCCGGAGCTGACCCTCCCACCCTAAGCAGTGGTCTCCACGATGCACTTGAGGAACATGGTGTCATCCTTCACATAGGCATGTTTGGGAGACTGCAGCCTGCTGAGGGGGAAGAAGAGTGGGCAGCCGCTGGCCACATTGGTTTCACTCTGGGGCCTCTGGAAGGATGCTGAGCTCAGGTCGGGCCGAAAGGCGTCAATGGCGTGCTCACGGTTATTCTGGTCAAGCAGCATGAAAGTGACCTGCAGGGCAAGGATGGGCAGATCAGGCTCAGGGCTGCAGCTCCAGAGCCAGGCTCCTTGCCTGTGGCTGCTGTGGCCCCTCCAACCCTTAGCCCAGCCAGATTAGGGGTCAGAGTGGAGAGACCCAACAGCTGGAGCACCTGGTGTCCAGAGCAGGCTTCAGGGGGTGGCCTGTGACTAGGATCAGATGTTCCATCCAGCAGGCAGCCAATGCCTCAGCCTGGGTTGATCAGCTGTTGGGGGCTAAGGGCAGGACCGAGGCCCTGACAGGGCAGTGGACTCGGACATTCCCTCTAGCTCAGAAATTTTTGATTCACAACTAAAGCTGGAACTTTCTGGGGCCCAGCATAAGGGCAGGGACAGAAAGGTCTGCTGTGGAGGGGCTGTCAGTCAGTGCCTGAAACGCTCTCAGAGCTTCTGGTTACACAGGCCTGGGGAGCTGATCATCTAAAAGTAACACAAACTCTCTTCCCTGCCACGTGTCCTTGAAACACCATCAGGAACCTGCATCAGTACCTAAGCAGTCCTTAAATCTGGCTGCAGGGTAGAATCCCCTGGAGAGCCTTAAAATCCTGGTGCTCAGGGCTTAACACTTACTCTGTCATTGGTATTTAAAAGATTTCCAGCACCTTTGGGTGTGGGAACAACTGACTCACACCCAGGCCACTGTAGCAAGCCTGCACTGCCCATCCATTTCCAAGCCCCTGAGGTCGGTATTCTTGCCACCTCACCCCACTTGATTATGCTGTTCACCTGCAGGGACAGTCTAGCCCCCTAGGACTCTTTAAAAACTGCTAACAGACTTTATTATTTAGATCTTTTCCTGTTTCCATTGTTTTGCCTTTTCCAGAATGTCACATAGCCGGAATCCTAACAGCATGCAGTCTCTTCAAGCTGGCTTCCTTCATTTAGTAATATGTGTCTAAGCCTCATCCGTGTCTTTTTAAGGCCTGACAGCTCATTTCTTTTTAGCACTAAATGAATAATTCATTGTCTGGATGCACCCTTTACCTACTGAAGGCCACTTTGGTGGCTTCCAAGTTTTGGTGGTTATGAATAAAGCTGCCATAAACACCTGTGTACAGGTTTCTGTGTGGACATCGTTCTCGGCTCCTTTGGGTAAATACCAAGAGTGTGACTGCTGCATTGTATAGTTAAGAGTATGTTCAGTTTTGTTAGAATCTGCCATGTTGTCTTTCCATGTGGACGAACCATTGTGCACAGGAGTTCCTGCTGCTCCACATCCTCCCAGCACTTGGTGGCGTCAGCATTCTGGATTTTGGCCACTTTAATGGGTGTGTATTTAATACCTGCCTCTTTCTGCCTTTCTGAAAACCCTGTGAGTGCAGGCAAGCTGCACAGCACCCCCTGGGGCAGTCTCTGTATTCCCCACCATATGAACAATTGTTTCCCCATAACCTCCAGGGGTGCTCTGTTCCGGAGACTTTAGCTCCTGGGCTAGGGGGAACCTCGGCTACTAGATCTGAAGTCAGCTTCTAATTTTATAAAAGGGAAACCGATAATAAAGAGAGGTGGGGGGCTTGCTTAGGCCACACGGCCAGTTTGTGCCTGAACCAGGTTCCCATGCTCCCCCCAGCCCACTCTTTAGCCCTGCCCAAACCTTGTTCCGGAAAGGCCACGGCAGCAGAGCGTCGTACTCCCCTCTCATGATCACGATGAAGAGTGACAGGTGCGTCCTCTTCCCTGTGCCATCGCCATTCAGGTACAATCGCAGGCACAGCTTGTAGCCATACTTGGCAGTATAGAAAGCTGGAACATGAAGCTGAGGTCAGGCAAGCCCAAGGTCAGTGGCTTACAACTATGACAGCTGGGGCTAGAGTTGATTAGAGTCTAAAGAAGAACAGGCCCCTGGAAATCGTCTAGCTGTCAGCGGGCCATCCACCTCACAGATTGCTGGCTCCACCCTCAGAGTTTCTGACTCAAGAAGCAAATTTGCATTTCTAAGTTGGTTGTTGGGGATGCCAGTGCTGCTGGCCCTGGGACCACACTTTGAGAAACAACTGACCTAAACAACCTGCATTTTATAGTCTGAAAACCGAGCCCAGTAAAAGGAAGTGGTTGGTCACCATGTCACAGTGTGTTAGGGGCAGAGACAGGATTAGGGGTCGGGCTTCCTGCCTCTCAACACTGGTTTCTTTTTGCTGCCCTAGGCTGACTGGTTGGGCTTTCCTGCCGGCTGGGGGGGTGTGGGGTGACTCACAGTTCTGCCAGTCACCCTCAGCAAAGGCCCCTGAGGGATGAGTCATTCCTGGTGGTGAAGCATAGAGACCCATGGGCTTTCTTCCTGGGCAGCTGAAAGGGCCACCCCATCCACATGTGGGTTCTGGCAGCTATCACCCTCCAGTAGAGGGCCCTCCTGGGAGGGGTTGGGTGGGAATGGGGGTTGGGGCAGGCAGGAAGGGGGTGGAGGAGGACTAGGCTGCCAGTCTGACTCATCTCTGCCTGTTAGGTTTTGGTAGAACAAGAAGCCCGAGGCATTGCTTGCTTTTTCCCTCTTTGGAAAGAACTGAGAAAAAATGTCTCCGTGTACGGTGCATGGCTGTCTATGAAGAGGGCTGTTCCTATAGGAAAGGGGCCCCAGTCCTGCTCTAGGGTGAAGGGCAAACTCCACTGCCTCATTTTATGTACAAATACATGCACTGTTTTATTAACAGATATCAGTCAGGTAAGAGAAAAATTTGTCAAGTAACTTCTTTATGCAAGACATTGTACCAAGCCCAGCGGCTCCAGAATTGAGTAAGAACTGTCCCAATTTACACAACACTTATCTGTGCGCTCCCCACAATTGCACACAAAGGCACGTGTGTCTTACTCAGTTCTCTGCTTGTCTTATTTCAGAGCGGTGGCGCCCTGAGGGCGAGGTGCTCGCCACCCCCTGCATCTGCATCTGCACAAGCTCTGGCTCACCGCACGTCCTCCACATCCAGTGTCCACATGAAGTGGATGATAATTTCCATTCCTATTTGTAGGATATGACTGATATTCAGGGAGAGAAAACGGGCTGCCCAGGCCCCTGCTGTAGGTGGCTAAGAGCTATACATCAGAACAGAGTTCACCTACCACCCCCATGGTCTCAGCGTAGCCCTTGGTTGTGACAGGTGGCCTGAATGGACACTGGCCTAATGAGACACAGCCCAGCTGTCAGAGTTGGCTGTTCTCACCTCTGTTTCCTGGGCAGGCCTGTCTCTCTCAGCTGGTCTCTGTGCTCCTAAGAGGTGTTACCTGGGGAGAAGAGGCTGATGGTCCTGCCGCAGGCTGACTCATGGCACCGCCTGGTGACATTGGTGATCTTCCACAGGAAGGTGCCATCAAAGGATGCCTCCTCCATGAGGCTCAGGCTCTGCTCCAGCTTGCCTAGGGCCTGGTCTTTCTCGGCCAGTGTCTGCTGCAACTCCATCACCTGTCGGAAAGCCGAGTCAGCCAGAGACACCAGAACCCAGCTGAGGAGGAGGTAGGGATAGCGGGGTGTGGAGATGGATCTGCCCAGATATGCTCTCCTTGACCACACCTCACTCAGGCGCGCATGTCTGCATTCGCATCAGCTGCCTCCTCCTGAAATTCCTTTTCCTTCCTTCTCCACTGGCCAATTCCTATTCAACCACTAGGAATCCAGCTCATGTGGCCCTTCCTTTAGGACAGCGGTTCTCAACCTATGGGTCGTGACCCACAGGAAAGTATTACAGGACTGTGGCATTAGGAAACTTGAGAACCACTGCTTTAGAACAACTTCAACCACTGCCCTAGCTCAGCTGCTACTCTCATCCATGTTCTTACAGAGCTCATGCACTGTCTTTATTTATTTTTTTTTAAGAGACAGTCTCACTTTATCACCCTTGGTAGCGTGCCATGGCATCGTAACTCACAGCAACCCCTAACTCTTGGGCTTAGGCGATTCTCTTGCCTCAGCCTCCTGAGTAGCTGGGACAATAGGTGCTCGCTACAACGCCCAGTTATTTTTTGTTGCAGTTTGGCTGGGGCCGGGTTCAAACCCGCCACCCTCGTTATATGGGACCAGCGCCCTACCCACTGAGCTACATGTGCCGCCCCCCCATATAGTGTCTTATGAGATATATTTTTCTGCCTTTCCTACCAGATGGTCTCCTCCACCAAGGGCTGGGCCAACCTCATTTTATCTCAGTGTCCATGCCTCGCATGATGCCTGATATGTAAAAGTATAGCCAGGACATTTGCTGGTGAAATGAAGATGCAGCTGTGGCAAGAGTTATATTAATAAAGCCTGTTATGGCTCGGTGCCTGTGGCTCAAGTGGCTAAGGCGCCAGCCACATACACCTAAGGTGGCGGGTTCGAATCCTCAGCCCAG